AAGGACCTCCCTTCAATTCTAAAATAAAGTGAATGGTTTAAAGAAGGAATGGAATGGTCAGCTCCTGCATTCTCCAGGATCACTTAAAGGAGAGAAAGAAAAGTTCTGAATGATAAGGCCAAAAGTCTATCCAATTAAATATTCTGTGACCACATTTCATTATCAGTTTACAGTAATGCATGTAGTGAATGCTGGTTTAATTATTTTACTTTTGCAGAAACTCTCCCAAATATCTGCATAGCATAATGAAGCAGTATTTAATCTATTGTAATCTATTCACTATGAATAACTTATTAGAAGGTTCACTTGGATAGTTTGGGTAACATTTCCTACCTGAGTAATGAAGATCCAATGGTCAACAGTGACATGAACCTTAACCGCCTTCCAAAGCCTTGAGTAACTCCTTGGCTGTCCTATTCATTTTCGATAATTGGGAAATTAGAATTTTGGCTGTGGTTGACAGACATGTGTTCAGCAAGTGAAATCATTTCACAAGGTTGTGGAATCAGCATGTGATAAAACCATCAGTTCCATCTCATTCATCTTCAGAGTATATCTATACAATCAGTTTGATTTGACTACCTTGGTCAAACAGCATCCTAGGATGCTTCCACCCTTACTTGGGAAAGGAGCCCCATGCCAACTATCATGCAACATTGTGTGCCTTCTGGCAGAGGCACTGCTCCCAATCAGGATGACAGCATCACCGGAGGCCTCATTCTCAGCATGGGAGGCTTCCAGTGGAGCCAGCATAGATCCTTGGCACTTCCTCATCACAAGGGTGTTGCTGAGAGAAAGCTGTGCACAGACTGACAAATTTGGCCTCCTCCTCCTCTCTTTCCCCCCCAGAAGCCAGGTGAAGTGGGAAGCTTCACCTGGCCTTTGTGATGAGGCCCTTAGATTGCTCTGCTAGAGAACTCAAGTGCATGCCTCTGAATGACAGACAAAGCTCTCTATAGAGAAGAACCACAACACACACTTCGAACCCCAGGATTCTATAGGATAAAGTCATAGCAATTATGAAACTCATAAAAGGTCATAAAACTATATTGCAGATAAACTCGCAGTCATTTTCAATTATACCATGCTCAGTATGTTAATAAGGATAGGATTCAAAGAAGTCCCCCTTGGGGTAGAGAAAGCCATGGTATAAATAGGGTAACAAATAAATAAGTGGATGGCACCTTTCAGTGCTTCACAGTTTATGCCATCAACACCACCATCATCACATTCCTCCCTACCCCCACCTCACTACCATCACCACCAACACCATCATATTTATTGATATGCTGCTTCCCTCCTCCACAACACTGGGACTTAAGGAAGCTCATAAATTAAGATAAGTATAATTTAGTTAAAACACCCATTAAAAAGTAATTATCGTAAATTACAGATGGAGTATCTCCTGTGCATAAAATTATTTAAAATATTTTGTATAAAATTGCCTTTAGGCTATGTGTATATGGGTCTGTGAAATCTAGATGAATTTCGTGCTTAGACTTGGGTCCCATCCCCAGATATCTCATTACATACATATATGCAAATACAGGTATTCTGAAACCTGGGACACCCCCCTCACCGAAATCCAATCATTTCGGATAAGGAATATTCAGCCTTTATTAATTAGTTATTTAGTTGCCTCTGTGTAACAAAATATCATCTCTGGGCCTGACTCCACCCCCCTCCTCCCCAAATGCTTATTTTGAGCCAGTGGCTAGACTGGGTGAAGGAAGTCCATTTAGTTTCAAATTGGAGTGTGATGAGAATGCCATTTCTGTCTCCTTCCCAATACAATGGAAAGGCTGCAACAAGGTCTCACAGCTTCTAATTGTAGCAGTCCGATACACTGGTGAAAAAGAAGTGAAAGCGTCCTCCTTGCGCTCTGACCAGAAGCAGACCTTACCTCCTTTACCTGAGCTTTACCTGACCTTAAGGTGGCCTCAGGTGGAATTTATATACTTTTTCAGCAAGGACCTCTTCACACATGCCGCCGGAATCACTGAGTATCACTACGAATCACTGTGATTTCAGTGTCGCCTGCCCAGGGGGTGTGGAGATCTGTCACCCAAAACCCTACACCATCCGAGCTTCCCCCCATCTCATCATATGGGGAGGAAGCCTCAATAGGCCAGCCCAACCCATGTTTCCCTATGGAGAGACAGGAAGCCTCCTGTCATGTGTTGTCAGCAATTTTTCAGTGGCGGCAGGAGGGGTTTTTTTTTTTGCACTTTTGCCCCGGAGCTGCCCCAGAAGTACTTTTCCAGTGTGTGATGGGGAGCTGGTGGACTCTGTTGTGAAAGTGCAAAAAGCCTGCTGCTGCCAAATTTTAGCCCACGTGAAGAGGTCCTAAAGCTGCCTAGTCTTATTGAATACAGAGTGTATGGATCTGTAACTCCAGGTTTCAAATCTGTAATTGCAATACTGAGTGGCAGCCAGAATAAAAAAATAATGTAAAATTTAATAATAATTAGTTTAGAAACTGTACTATTAAAAAACGGTATCACACTTTATTAAAAGACTTTTCTCTGAAAAGATTCCTTTCACAAAAACAAACTAGAATAACATAGTCCCTATTTAGAGGTTATGAGAGCTTTCCCCCAATGGCTTCTTACTATTGTTACTGTTAGTTATAGCTCAAGATGTGGTACTTTGCCTCTTGTTTCAAGAGAATTATCGACACTTGCATATTGCTCCCCTATTTGTTTCTCTCAACAACTCTGTAAGGTAAGTCAAGCTGAAAGTGAATAGCCAAACTGGTTTCATGACTTTAGTGGTGATCTTAAGTTGGGTATCCTGACCTTGTCCATCACTATGATATGTTCCCTGCTGTTCCAGTGAGTCTCTCATAAATAACTCTGAAAGCACCTGAATGTGTACATGGGACTCTTTGCACACTGCCGAGGAAGAAATTCAAAATAGGCAAAAGCTATTATTCCCGACAATGAGCACTTCATACAGTGACATTCAAAACAAATTTCATAGTACAACTAATTAGCTGAGCAGTCGTTTAAAGCAAAGCAGCAGATAAATGGCAACACGTCTTTAAAAGCCAGATAAAGTAGAGAGACTTTTCATACATCCTTACAGAGTCGTACATCAGTAATTTTAATTTGGGAGCTGATTCTAGATCATAAGTAACAATGTCACAAAAGTCCTGCTCTGGCAGCTCTTTGAGCAAATATCCTTAAAGAGTGGGGCCCAGCAGAGCAAACCTACCAGTACCTAGATAATATCATTGGGTTAGAAAAAGCTGGGGTGGCATATTGAGAGCTCTCTCTCTCTCTCTCTCTCTCTCTCTCATGTGCTTTGAATGCAATTTTCCTTCTTCTTGGCAGGGGTTTGGACTGGATGGCCCATGAGGACTCTTCCAACTCTATGGGTCTATGATACTATGATTCTATGATGTATCTATGTGTCTATTTATTTATTTGCTTCATTTATATCCCACCTTCCTCAACCCTGTAGGGCAACTGAAGGTGACTTACAACTCCAGCAAGACTCAGTGCTGACTAAAACATAACCATAAAACATATCTCATCAATCAAACAATTAAAACAGTTAACCAATTAAAACACATAGAATAATAGCTGATTAAAAACATATAAAGTGCATGATACCATTCATCCATAATCCTTGTTCATAACCCTTATTCAGCCTATGTTGAAATCTGTAATAACTTATTCTTCAAATGCTTGTGTGCAAAGCCAGATCTTCTTTCCTGAAAACTAGAAGACATGGGGCCCGCCTGATGTCACTAGGGAGGGAGTTCCACAGCCAAGGGGCCACCACTGAGAAGGCCCTTTCTCTTGTCCCCACCAGTTGTGCTTGCGAAGGGGGTGGGACCAAGAGCAGGGCCTCCTCAGCTGATCTTAAAGCTCTTGTTGGCTCATAGAGGAAGATGTGTTTGGACAGGTAAGTTGGATCAGAACTGTATAGTGTTTTATAGCTAAGACCAGCCCTTTGAATTGAACTCAGTAGCAAATTGGAGCTAATGCAACAGAAGGGATATCCTTTCTCTGTATGCTGCCTCAGTTAGGAATCTGGCTGCTGCCCATTGGACTAATTGAAGTTTCTGGGCCATCTTCAACGGCAACCCCACGTGGAGCACATTGCAGTAGTCTATATGAGATGTAACAAGAGCAAGGACCACTATCTATCTAATCTATCTATCTATCTATCTATCTATCTATCTATCTATCTATCTGTCATCTATCTAATAATAATCAAAATAATAACATCTAGCTTCTTCAGACTGACTTAAAACCCCAGCTTGATAAACAGGAGCCAAATTTCATTTTTCACATTATATATCTATCTTCCTTTTCTCTTCACTCCTCCATTTTTTTCTTATCTTGCTCCCGTCCTGCTATCTTTCTACATTATTCTCTTTCTTTCCATTGTCTTTTAAAAAATGAAAGAAGAAGAATACAAAATTGCACCCTTAGAAAGATGTAGCTCAGGGTTCCAAAAATTACACATATCTCCAAATAATATTGTTGGTGCCAGACTTATTTCAAGCAAAAACTTTCCCAGGAAGGCAAATAGAAAATGAATAAAAACATTAACTACTGTAAACTAAAAGCATGAAAGCACCCCAAGTCATATGAAAGCTGAATGCCATACAACACATGCAAATTTTAAAAATGTTTTCTTCTTCGTATTCAAAATATGATTAAATAAACCAAAGCCAGAATTAAAGCAGAATTAAAGTAGAAGGAAAAGGAACTCGCCAAATCTCCTGTTTTAGGCTGGCATCTTGTTCCCAATTATGTTCATGCAAAACCGTTTGCTTCAACAGAAATGCAAATTTGTGAAGCTAGAAACCAGTGAATACATCTGAATATGTTTTTCAAAATGAGAGATTACCTAGGCAATTGTTATTCTTACATTGATCCTGAGACATGTTTCCCCACTCTTGAGTGATCTTTCTGCATGCATTCACATATATGTGCTTGATGTTTTCACTGAAAGAGACTACACCGATATTTCTGAGATTTTACCTGTGGGAATGATTCAGTGCAAGGTCAGGCTTTCTCATTTTCAAGTAGCAGATTACAAGCTTTGTTTCAATGAAACTGGCAATGCTTGAAATATCTGTTGGAGAGGCTTCAAAGGGCTTCCCTAAAGCTGCACCTTTGCTGCAAAGCTAGAAAAAAAAAAGAGTTGACTCATTCCTGATGCAATGACAAGTAAGTTATATATCCAGATGAAAAATTGACCAATCAACTCGTATTTTACATGCCCAAACTATTTTATTTTCTGTAATTTATGATAAACTTGTTGGAGTTTGCAACTTTTGCATGCCTATACTCATTGGTAGTTAGAGTGCATGTCATTCTTTGGGAGGTTAAGAACAATATACTTATTGTAAGTTTCTCTTTATCTGTGATTTGGGTCACACTCAATCTCTTCTTATAGGGCCTACTCTGCTTGTGCACTTCTATCTTTATCTGCCTGTCTTCCATCAAGAATATGTAATAAGAGCTTCTCAAGTGGAGGTACTTCAATGCTTATTACATTTCTTTAAGGTAAGATGAAGAAATGAAGAAGATGTATGTGTGTTGATTATGCTCAAGTTTTCATGAGTAAAAATACTTCGATAAACTTTACAAAGAAGACTAAGTTTGGTGTCTTTCTGTGCTAGATCTTGTACATGGAGTGGAATAGGCTTATGAACTGTTCAACATCTGCCTAGTGCATTAGTAACACTAGTTGAGAGACTACTGCTACTATTTATTTATTTATTTACTTTTTTATATATACCGCTTTTCTCAGCCCTCAGGTGACTCAAAGTGGTGAACAACATCGATACAAAACATCACAAGACAAGTATAGGGCAATTAAAAACAATTGTACTACACTCTCTTATATTTCCCAATAAAACTCACCATTACCCTGCAAGGCAAAGGTGAAGAACATCTTTCTGCCCAAAACCCTAAATTCAACTTGAGATAAATTCTCAGGAGACACGTTCTGGAGGGTCAAATCTGGGGGAAACAACAGGATGAACAATATCACTGTATTTTAGTTTAAAACTCATCCTCCCAGTATCTAACTACTGGAGAGTATTTTAGCCTTTTCATAGTGAAAGGGAAAATCAATATAATAATAATAATAACAACCACAACCACAACCACAACAACTTAATTTTTGTACCCTGCCTCTATCTCCCTGAAGGGACTCGGGGTGGCTTACATGGGGACAAGCCTGATCAACAAAGTTAAAATAACACAGTAAAATTCATAAAATAGCAACAGAAAGCAAAACAAAACAAACAAGAGCATAACACAATATAAAAACAGCCATCGAACAGACAACCTGTAGCTTGAAAAAGTAAAACAATTCTGGGCTCAGGCGGGGGAGGGGAAACAAAGCAGTTGTGAGGAAAGGGCTGATAGATAAAGAGCAAGTATCAGATGACAAAATTGGGGATAAAGCACAATATGAGGCGGGACACTATATCTCTGGGCAGGGATTAGTAGAAAAGTGCAGGAACTGGATTTTGAATCATAGCTGGAGGCCAACATTTTCTAATCAAAAGCACAGTGTTTTTAGATCTTTGCAAAAGATGGACAAGGTGGGTGCCAGCTTGATCTCCCTGGGGAAAGAATTCCAGAGCTGGGGAGCCACCACCGAGAAGGCCCTCTCCCTTGTCCCCACCAACCACACTTGTGACAGAGGTAAGAGCGAGAGGAAAGCTAGGACATATAGAAAAGCTAGGAAATAACTTAATGGTGTTCTAATCATAGAGGAGGGGTATGGGCCTCTTAGAAAGCAAAGAGTGTCTGATTGAAAATTGAGAAGACAAGATGCACCCCTATTTTGTTGTAAATAATCTGTTTCATCACCCTCAGCATACATAGAAGGGGGATGTGAGAGTGAGACAACATGGCTTTATCTAAGTAGCTTCAGTTGGACTGAACAAGTATAAGTGTTCATAATATAAAAGAGCCTCTAATAATAATAATAATAAGAAGAAGAAGAAGAAGAAGAGGAGGAGGAGGAGGAGGAGGAGGAGGAAATGGCTGAAGGGGAAAAGTCCACCCAACATATCCTTCTAATTTGCTGGCAATCACACACAGAAATGCAAATCCTCAGTCTTTTAATCTGATGTAGTCTTTTAACTTGACATGCTGTTTTTATTGAACGGACCTGCTATCTTGGATTAACCCTGTTTTAATTGGAGACATTGTCAAACTGTAATTACACTTTAAAAGTTTCTTCAAGATTATCTGATGAAATTTCCACATGTATCTAATTTAAAGCTATTAGATCCAATCCTTCCCACATGGGCAATGGAGAAAAAAAAGTGGCATTTTCTATGTAATAGTCCTTCAGGAGTTTGTAGTCATTTAAGGATGTAAATATTATTTTAAAATATTCAAAAATGGTTAAAATGCATGTTTCTTGACTATTGGGAAAGTTTTACTAGGAGGATCCTGGATTGATAAAAACCTGTAGTTTGGGATTTGTGCTGTATAAAATTTGCACATGGAGCTTATTATTATTATTATTATTATTTACAGAAATCAGCATTTTTGTGGAAGAAAGTTTCCTTTTCTAAGCAGGCACCAATATTTATGGACATACATATTTTGTGCCCACAAAACACAATTTCCTGCACAATTCTGGTTTCTGTACAAAATATGTGCAAATCTTGTGCAAGAAATAAATCTACAACTATAGCATTTTGTGAGCAGGAAACAGCATTTTCTAGAAGATAATAGTATTTCTGTGTTGTTGAAGGCTTTCATGGCCAGATTCACTGGGTTGCTGTAAGTTTTTTGGGCTGTATAGCCATGTTCCGGAAGTATTCCCTCCTGATGTTTTGCCTGCATATATGGGAGTATCCTCAGAGGTTGCCTGCCATAGATGCAGGCAAAACATTAGGAGAGAATGCTTCTGGTACATGGCCATACAGCCCAAAAAAATTTAAAGCAACCCAATAGTATTTCTGTATAAACATATTTTTTGCACAGAAAATGCTGCTTTCTTTCCAAAAATACAACATCCAAATTTAGAATGGAGAATACTGCCTTGAACCGAAATTGCTCATTTTATTTCAAGAATGAAATTAGAAAGTGAATATATACATCCTGATTCTCCTCTTCCCATTCTCAGTAATTTCCTTCTTAAGGTAGAATGCGTTAAGTCTTTTCAAACCTTCCTCATAGGAGTTCTTTGCTTGGCTTTTGCTTTATATCAGACCATCTCAGGTGCCCTGCTCTGATCTTCTTCCATTTTGCTTATGTTCTTATTAAGGTGTGGCAGCCAAAGTACTCCAATACAACCAATGCAGAAATGTCCCAACCTAATCTCTTGATTGGTGTGGAGCTTGGAAAAATTACACATACAATTCCTAGAATGGCTATTGGAAATCTTGGGAACAATAATGAAAAAAGCAATGATTTCAGGACTCCCATTGCCACCTCAATGCTGATCTTTGTTGCTTTACCTTCTGCATCAGAAGTTTCAAAGATCCTATCTAGGGTTCATTGAGAAGAAGGAGCAAAGAGATGTAGACAATAGTTCAGTGAGGTAATTTTAGACCTTCATGTTGATGGTCTTATAGAAGGGAGGGGGCATTATATAGCTGCAGTTTGTCCATTGTTTTGGACATGAAGCACAGAACTAATTATTACTTTTTTTCCCCACACACAGCTGCCACTGCACTTTTTACAGCTGCTTCAACATTCCTGATAGGAATAAAATAAAACAAAACAAATCCTGCTGAATATTCTAAATACTTAACAAGCCACAACATCATGACGACAGCTGAACGTGAATTCTGCTGCCACTGTTACATGCGCCATTTAGCAGTAGGAAATGATTATACATTGTAAAGCAATAATAATAATATTTGTACTCACTGAGTGGAGAGACTTCAGAACTTGGAAAAATTGGGATACAAGTAAAATAGGTACTTACAAAGTATTACTTCTTGTTATCAAAGGCAAGATGAAGTCACAAACCAAAGTAGCCCCATACAGAAGAAAAAAGAACATATAGCTGATCCAGAATGGATTGCCCCTAGTTGGGGGGTGTGGGCTGTAAGGCCAGTTTCCATGCCACTGCTGACGTGGGAGGGTATCCTCAATGGCAGGAGGGAATTCATACCATGCAGTGGCCACCTTTATTTTCATCTTGTCATCATCATAGCAGTGACTACAGAGCAGAAAAGCACTTCTGGTTTTTGCTCATTACCTTTGCTTTCCCCCCTTCACTCTGCAAGTCACATTACTATTTTTGCAAGTATTGGCAAAGATGATCAGCAATTACTAGGAGGACGTTTGTGCTTCAGTGTCACCACTCCAACAATGACAAGAAGATGATTACAGTAAGTGCCAAACCTTGTCTCTGAGCCCCTGAGCCCAGGGATTGCAGGATGGCCATGTAAACAGCAGCGGCTGTGTGCGTTATATGGATGCCAAGGAGTCCATTTACCCCTGCCCCACATTACTTGGCCTGTGTATATAGGTCTAAAGCAATGATTCTCAACCCTCCTAATGCCATAACTCCTTAATACAGTACCTCATGTTTTCGTGACCACTAACCATAAAATTGTTTTTATTGCTACTTCATAACTGTAATTTTGCTTCTGTTATGAATTGTAATGTAAATACCTGACATGCAGGATATATTTTCATTCAGTGGGCCAAATTTGGCACTAATACCCCATAGAGTCAAGTTTGAATACTGGTGGGGTTGTGGGGGGATTGATTTTGTCATTTGAGAGTTGTAGTTGCTGGGTTTTATAGTTAACCTGCAATCAAAGAGCATTCTGAACTTCACCAACGATGGAATTGAACCCAACTTGACACACAGAACATGATCAACAGAAAATACTAGAAAGGTCTGGTGGACAATGACCTGGAGTTTTGGAGTTGTAGTTCACCTACATCCAGAGAGCACTGTGGACTCAAACAATGATGGATCTGGATGGAACTTGGCATGAATATGCAGTATGCCGAAATGTGAACACTGGTGGAGTTTGGGGGAAAATAGATCTTGACATTTGTGAGTTGTAGTTGCTGGGATTTATAGTTCACCTATAATCAAAGGGCATTCTGAACCCCACCAACGAAAGAATTGGGCCAAACTTCCCACACAGAACCCCCATGACCGACAGAAAATACTGTGTTTTCT